ATGGCCGTTCGCCCAGACCCGACACCGCCGACGCCCGCCTCTGGACCTTTGCTTGGTTCGGTGCGTGTTCCGCCGGTTGTTGATACCCCAGTGCTTTCGGGCGTGGAGCTCGATTTCCGCGAATCGGTTGAGCGTTTTTCCCATTCTGATTGGGAGCGAGAACAACGCGGTGAACACGTGTGCGATGCCGCCATACGCTACATCCTTCTAGGTCAACCTCCCGAATTACCGCCTGGTTTTCTTGACCACCTTCCGTCACACCGTCGACCTTCGTTTTCGGACATCCGTGAACTGGCACATAAAGGCCGGTTGCACGTTGACGACGATGACGTAGTGCTTCTCGTTAAGAAGCCCACCACAACCGCTTCTGCCACTTCCACGCGCCATGGCGGGCGTGCGGCACGTCTCCTCAACGACGAACCTATTAGAGTTTACGTCCCCATGTTGATGCGCCCATGGATCATGCAGATCTGTCACGCTAATGCGTCTTGTCATCTTGGTGTAGCTCGTACGCTGTCTATGTTAGAGCGTTTCTACTGGTGGGTAGGCATGAGCGTCTGTACCAAATGGTGGATTCGCCATTGCCTCAAGTGCCAAGCTCGTAAAACTTCCCGACAAACGGCCCGGTGGCCCCTTTTAAGCTTGCCACTGCCGTCCGGACCTGGAGTGTCCGTGAGTGTCGATTATTTCGGCCCACTGCCGACTACCCCTAGGGGTAACACTTACATTCTGCTCTTCACCGACCGGTTTAGTCGGCGTGCTGACATGTACGCCGTTACGGCTGCTGCGTTTACCGCTGAAGGTACTGCAGGTATTTTAGTGAATCGGTATATCCCTCTGTGGGGTTGCCCCTTGAGTCTTTTATCAGACAATGGCACACAATTTTGCTCGAAACTGTCACAAGCCGTTTACAAACGTCTCGCAGTTCGCAAAGCGGCCACCAGTTCGTACCATCCTAATGGAAATGGTGGTGTCGAGCGAGTTAACCATTCTATGGCACAAATGCTTGCCATGGTCGTTAACGAACGGCAAGATGATTGGGATGTCCATCTCCCTCATGTAGAGTTTGCCTATAATAACTCTGTTAGCGCGGCCACCGGTTTAGCACCAAATGAGGTGCATATCAACCGTTTGCCTCGCCTTCCGATGACTGTCATCGAGCATCCTTATGCTCGTGGTCATCAAAGTTTGGATCGCGACCATCTCCAATATTGCGACCTCGCTGCTGATCGCCAACGTCGTGCTTACGAGCTAGTACGCGAGCAGCACAAGTTATCCATTTCTCGGATCGAGCGTCGAAATTCCGCTCTCTCGGATGCTTTGCACAAGCTTCCGACTTACACCATCGGCGATTGGGTTTGGATCTATAATACCGAATCTACCATTCGCTCCGGTGTTCGATCAGGCACCGACGACCAGGTTCTCAAAGCAAAGTTATCATTGCTTTGGACCGGTCCGTTAAAAGTGTTGGCTGTAGGCCAAGTTGTTATACTTGGATCTTCCGTCGGACCTGCCGGGCAAAGACTCGAAACGTCGTGTTTCGGTCGCACGCTGCAAGCCATGCGCTAATCCGCATGACGCTGAGGACCTGCCACGGTTTCTGCCGACTGGTCTCACGCAGTATGTTTTAAACAACTATACGACCAAATCTCCTCCGTATCATGTTACGGAAAATGACGTCTCGACTTCGGTCGAACGCCTCGAGGTGGAACAAATTACTGGTCACCAGTCTGTTCGCGGTCGTGGTGGTGTTATCGCAGTTCTGTATCAGACACATTGGAAGGGTCTTCTCCGCCCTTCTTGGGAGCGTGAGATGGACCTTCAGCACTCTCGATCGCAGATTCTCCGGTATTGGACGGGTACGCCCGATCAACACCGTCAGACGAATCGTCGATACCGTGCAATGCGTATTGGCGCAGCCGCACGCGAATTGGCACGTGCTAAGGGCGAGAGATATTTGCCTCCGGGTTACTCCTTTGTCTCCCGCTCAACCTGGGACCGTCCTTTCGCCGATACTCCCCTACCTGTGGGTGCGTTCTTCTGGTACAAGGCTCAAGATGGACTCTGGTGGCTGGGCAAGATTTCTGGACCGACTGAACGGGCCGACCACTACATCGTACGCTTCCTCGACGACCCCGGACCGGTCAAGATCGCCCTCTCCGTTGTTCGTTACTCTACCCTCGGATCGGCCGTCTGCGGTTCGTGATGCCTTCAAGTTCACAGCGGTAGCGCCCTCATGAAAGGACTTCTTCGCAATGTCGACATGTCGCGAAACGTGGAGGCGGAGCATTCGCCGCCAAATGATCCGGCACGCACCGATTAGCAAGCGTGTGTGTCTTGGGATCTACCTGTGTGACGTGTGTGTTCTATCCTAGATGGGATGCGGACTCAAGGTCGCCCCTAATCTCGTCCGGTCCTCTCATTTGCAAGTACGTGTAGGCTGTTGTTGCCTCTGGATAGCGCAGTGTTAGGCCTCGTTTTGGTATTTCGACCCCTTTTTCTCGTCATTCTGGCGATCGGTTTGTTTCCGCCTGGTACGTCGTCTTGTCTTTCGAGTCCTTTTTGCCTTTCTGCTTCTTTCGCCGTTCGCGTGGTTGAGCTTTATTTTCGGCTCACCGCGGCGGTATGATTTCGACGGACCTTATGTTGGGTCATGGCCCCCTGGTTTTCGCTGTCGAAACGATTGGTTTCTTACCTTTTTGCGTACGTCGCCCTATGGCGTCATTAGGTTTTCTTTGTGAGTAGTTAGCCTATACGGGCTAGCCGTGAGTATTTTCGTCGCTTTTAGTCGTTGAGCGACACCGACTGCTTCGTGTTTTGTATCGTTTTGTCGATACGGTTGGTTTTCGCCGTTCCGACGGTGCTTTTCCAGCATTTTCTTCCTTTCTTTGGGTTCCGACCTGTTATGGTATTTGTAGTGTTGACGTTTTCTATAGGTGTCTATTGTCCCCCTGTTTACTTCTTAGCCCCCGTCTTTCCCTTCTCTTTCGTTCTTTTTGCTTGGCTCAAACGATGGTCTTGCGACTCATCGTGTGAGAGGTGTGGGAGGGTGATTCTTGGTATTTTGGAGCTCCACATCCTCGATCCTTTCATTTTTTGGGATTCGACAATTATTTGTCAAGTTCCTAGGTTTCAAGTATCTGCGTATGAGAACCTCTAGGGTGGGCTAGTGTTATGGGATTTGAATGTAGCCAGTGCCAACGGTATTGCGGAGTAATTCCCAGAGGAAAGTGCGGGAGATGTAACTCCCGATGGAAGGATAAAACAGGGGACAGGACCTTTGTGGCCCCTTTTAGAGGGAGCATGTCCTCCCCCTCTGTGCTCAGTCTACCTTTGAGAGCAAGGCAACAGCAAGCACTGCTGTTCCAAGAGATTAATAAACAAGTGAGTCTTCATCAGGGTCTTCAGGGATCGCTACGCGTGTAATCCCACAACATGATGCAGCACCGGGTTCATCATGCATACATGGAATGAACGCCAAGCAGCAGTTGCTTGTGTGTCCATCCCCCCCAATTTGAAGGACGTTATAGTTTACAGTAGAAAACATCCATGTAGGATAGGCTAGAATAGTCTACATGAAAATATAAATTCATTTGAGTTAACATTTTTGCATCTACGGTTACAAGGTCTGGGATGCAGTCACAATACCGACTGCGCGACACACTCAGCCTCCCTCTGGCCCTTCTACGTGTGTGTCACCGCAGGTCAACGCTCAGTTTTCCAGAGGCGAAGCTTGTCTGTTGGTGCCATGTACACAAGCATATTGTGTGGTGTGCACGAAAAAAAACGAGTCCTGGGGTGCAGCCAACACCGACTGCGCGATACACACAGCCTCCACCACTGAATACAGCACAACTTCTCCTCTCCGTCGACCGGTCCATGCTCTATCCCACGACGATTAATTTATCCACCATCATTTGCCGCATGAAAATATGATGTGCTCAACATCGATCCATAGACTCCTTCGGATGTTGCCCATCCTTCCTCTTTTTTCGTGCACCTATGCCACACTTACACGATTGACGGGCCCAACGCCAAACCTTGCGTCCGCATTTTCTGTGATGCCAAGTCACATACGACGACACACAAACATGAGTACGCCAAGGTTCATTATTATATTCAAGTCCTTGGGCCCCATCGCACGTTTCACTCGTCTTCGTCGCGCCCCGTCCCTTCCTGTATTTACCTTTCCTTGGTGCATGTACATTGCACTCTTTCCCTCTTTTACTTTGGGATTTGGGCCCCGCCGCCCACTGGTTGGTCCAGACCGCGACCTGAACTGCCACCGTTATTATAGTAATGCAGTGTTGTTTTGGATCTTGTTGGTCAACAAAGGTTTGGACCTCAATGCGCACGTTTTCGGGTGGGCCTCGGTCTCTTTGTTGTGCTCTACTCCGGAGTGCACAACAATCTTGAGCAATTGGACATCCAACGGTGCCCCTACTTCTATTCGGGTAGCGTGAAAGGTCCTTCGCGATTCACTGGAGGTGCCCTACTCAGCAATCCCAAATGTCCCTACGAGGCGGTCCTCGTGTATGCACCACAACCAAGGGGTGAAAAGAGGGCGACTTTCACACAACGCACCGGCACACAAAGACATTTTACGACAGGGGGTCTGTTCAATCGTCACCGACATGCTGCTTTCCGAAGAGGCCGCCGCAGGCGGCCGTGTCCGGGGCCTCAGCATATTTTTGAACGCGTTGGTTTCCTTCCGTGACGATAAAGTATTTCCGAAAGTATTTTCCACAAAAAAATCTTGGTGTTACACGGTGGAAAACATGCCATGGATGGATATGGACACAGGCCAATCGGCAAGCAGGCACTATGCGCTCCGGAGCCAGAAAAATAAAGGGAGGGGGGGGGGCAAGACCACACGACAAGGTTGCAAACGCTCATGGAAAACTCGTGTGCGCAACCCCGTCCGCGCGCGATGTGCAGGCGGTTCATTCGTCACGCTTTCCAATTGTGTGCACCACCTCAAGAGCTGGATGTTGCTTTTTCCTCCGCAAGTCGTAGTTGTATCACACACACACACCTTATCTCACCCGTGCCTCTACCTGCCGGAACGCACATCCGATATGAGTGCTCCACCCGTCACGGAAACCTAGATTCGCATTGGCATATAGCGTCGTTGACGCGCCACGTCTTGCCCCAACGCCAGAAAGAGCAAGGCGAAAAGAAAAAAGGGTTCCGCGCGAACGAGGTGCTTTTATCCAAAACCGTGGCCGTCACGTCTACACCGAACTTCGAAAAAGGTTGGCGAACTTCTTCTTTACCTTCTTCGGCTATGACGCTCGTGGCGTACGACATCTCGCGTGCCCAGACGGCGCCGCGACAACTTGGGCGCGTCTTCACTCGCTACCCGACAAATCGGTACCACGGGAAAAGAGAAAACCCATGGTCGCGTGTTCACGGCTCACCCAACCCAGTTGGTACGCTGACACGTCAACTGTCGTGCTCTCATTGCAAGACAAGAGCACCTGCGGGGGCTTGAAGACTTATTCGCTGATCTTTGTGCGTGCGGTGCGCAGCCCCCCGCTCGACCTCACTCTTTCCTCTTCTTCACGGTTCCCGGAACAAGGTTTCGAGCTCTGGGATCTTTCTCCAACACGTACTAGAGGAAGGCAGGGCAGCTGGGGAGCGCCTTCCAGGCAGGGTTTGATTCACTCTATCTTCCGTGCACGCGCAGGCGGTATAGGCACGTGTAGTCCGGGTTTCCCCAATTGCTGAGAATCTTGAACTGGATCAACTCGATCTGCTCGCCCGGCGGCCTGATTAAGCGTTTAGATAGAAAAGCAAGCAATGAACTCAACATGGCGTATCATGCTTTCTAGAGACAACGGAAGAATTTTCTGGTTATGCTAGTGGTGTGGTTATGTTAGAGTTGGGTGATGCGGCGACTGATGGGGTGAGGTGAGGATAGGTCTTCGAAGTGAGTCCTCCCACAACAGCAACATCAACAGAACAAAAGGGACAAGTCAATCCTAACGTTGCGAAACGACCATTGCATTGATCTGACCCCCGTCTGAAAACATGCAGGCCTTCTCCCGCACGCTGAGAGTGTGCTGAAGAACCTCGCGCGTGATGCGATACTCTGGTAGTGCTGTGTTGACGCCACGACACGCCTGACTCGACCGTCCCCGCCCCTTGCCGGAACCGTGGGGTCTTGGTGGGCAACTTGCTTCAGGGTGCCTACCTGCAGCACCGCCGTGCCTACTTTGTTCACGTCATTGGTTTTAAATTCCATTTCTCGGTCAAGCACGCAAAAACGCGCTGCGGGCGAGGTTCAATCAAGATTTGACGGTTTGCCGCACGACTTGTGTCCCATGAACCTTGATGCCTGCTTCTACCTTGAAACGACCTGTGTCGGTGCATGCTGCGCTTGGGTAGGTCAGTGTGTGCACCGCGGTAACGCTTGACCGCGACCGACGAACTCACTCAATGCGGAAAGTCTGGATTGGCCTCCCGTCAACGTCGTACACGGCGCTCCCGAGCTTGGCGGGCTTTTTGTCTTTCTTGTTCTTCATGCCCCACACCTATCGGCGACAACGTACAGAGAGTGCCGAGCGACAAATTGCAGAGGCGATAGAAGTTAGCCCATCGTACCAATGTACCGAGCGATAACGAAATGCAGACGCGATATTGTAGAAGTTGGCCCATCGCACAAGCGTACGCTAACAGCCGAAAGCGGAACCAGCCAAATCAACCCGACCAATCAAATCACCCGAACAGCCCTACGTGCCCGGAGCATCGACCGGCGCTATTCAGAGGGAACGGCGCTATTTAATGTACAGAATTACTTGGTGATTCAGTCTGTGCCCTGCAGTTCACCGGTGCTATGTATACAGGACCAACGGTTCCCCATTCAACCGGCGATGTTGACCCCCCCACACACTGTACCGTATGTATGCAATAACATCCAATCGACTGGGAGCCGGGAATAAGATCTAACCCCCAAATATAAAACAGAACAACCTCCGTGGTAAAACTGCTGTACCTCGAGCTCCTTTGGTGCCGACCCACTCTCCGTAGTGACCATCCTAGACACATGCTCCACGGAGACTCCGTCCACCGTGATCTTTTTGGGAAGCTGGATGGTCACGAGGCCCTCGCTCCCGGACATGGCCCAGCAGGCGCCCAGGCTGCTGCCCTCCGATATAACCGACTCCACCGGGCCAACGCTGAGGCCGTATCATGGTGCGGGATAAGAGGGGGGGCAAGGCTAGGGTTTCCAGGATGGAGGGGGCTTGGGCGACAAACGAGGGAGGGCAGGTCGAGGCATGCATCGGTTTCAGGCAGCGGGACCTACGGCTGGTGACATGGCAAGGGGATCCCTACGCCATTGACGATGGGAGGGAGGGCTCTCGCCATCGTCAACCACGTTTTATGCTCCAGTGGGTTGCAGCAAAATACGGTTGTTGAATTCGGGATTTTTCCAGTACAGAAAGTTTCCGAGAAAACAGAGGGAGGCGAAACTGGCGAGGTGGCGCGTGGAGGTGGGAGGGAGGACGTTCTAACACCACGCCTCGGTGGATAGGGGGTTCTCACTACTAGGGGCGAGGACAGACTCGCAGCACATGTTTCCAGCGGCCGTAGACCAATGCTCTAACGACTAAATAGCAACCCCCGCAAGGGCTTTGTGTGCGCTGTGTGCGCACAGGTCCGTGCGCTCTCACCCGTTCTCTACCCCGGCTCCGTGCCAATACCGGCTGGGTCCCCACCAAGACGACGGCGTGTAGGTGTCGGACACCATACCCTTGGACGTGAGCTGCGTCACGTCAGCGTCAGCATCAACGTCGACCGTCGTCATGTGCGGCGGATCGAGGGCGAGGACGGGCGAATTACATGACAGATGAGCGGGGCTTTACCGTTTGAGCGTCGATCATCGCCGACGTTCAGATACAAAGCGAAGCCGCGGCGGACTTGAGCAAGGTACACGCGCGAAAACGATACAGAGCGGTGTATACCACAAGGGTGTTCCAGCGGCATCGAAAACGACTCTCGCCGGCGCCATACATCCGCTTTTCCAACGGCAGTGTCACAAGGCGAAGGTTTTGCGCGAACACGGCAGCCTCCACACGAATTCATCAGGAGCGGCGTTTAGGCGAATCAATCGCCCCTCGAACCTCAAGTCGTGTTTCGCTGCCCTCTCGGGCCTGCGTGCCCTCTCCTCAGCCCAAACGTGCCTGTCGCTTAAACAATGAATGCTACGTTGTGGGTTAACGAACCACAACGCCTCTTCTCCTTACCACTTTGCCGCCGAGGGCAGCGTTGGCGTAGTCCCGCATCCCTGTACCATCCGCCATCAGCTTCCCGATCGCCACGTCCACCTCCTCCCTCACCGCCCCCTCGGAGACGCACCCTCCTCCTCCGCCGCTTTCGTCGCCGCCGTCCCGGCTACCGCCTCCGAGCACCCTCGTCTTTACCGCGAGGTCCACCGCCGCCTTGGACAGGGCTCGAATTCGATGCTCCGCAGCGTCGCCGCCGCCGTCCCTGCTTGTGTCGGTTCTCTCCGAAGGTTGTGCCGCAGCACTTTCGAGCAACGCCTGTGAGAAGAAAAGGGTCAGAGGGAGGTGATATATCTTGCACTCTTTTGAGTTCCCAAAGACATGCAGGAGGGGCGACAGGGCTTCGGGTGATTTGATCAAATCCCACGTGGCGATCTTGCTTGGAGACACCCTGTTCTAATCTACCCACGACCGCCCCCCCCGTTAACCATTTGAACTTCTCTTGCTTTTCTGTGAGGGCAACCCCAATAAACCTCCTAGCACTTCAACGCCCGTGCGATGTTTCAATACCTCAAGGTCTGAAGCGGTCATGACGTCCGGAGACAGGCTGTCGACGTGTTCTTCCACCGTGTGGTAGAAGTCCTTCAGGTCGGCCAGGATGTCGTCCAGCTTTGATTCTAGTTTCTGTCCATGCCGTCATCCCGCCATCGCGGAAAGCAAAGACGACGACGACGACGACGACGATAGCGAGAGCAGAACACACATCACGAGGGCCATCGAGTATGTACAGTAGCTCGCACACAAATGCATCGCACGCCGCATATATCCTGCGCCGTCAAACCCAAGCAACACCAAGGCAGTAGAGAAGTGCAACACCCTGGCGACGGCGGCGGGCTGTCATCCCCTCTCTAACTTGCGCCTCGGGGGCGGGGGCTGGCCAACTCGGAGCAGCCCGTATCATCGGCGGGATGTATTTCTCATCGCGAGACGCCAAGGCAACCACCGCAGGACGGTTGGGCAGGGTGCCTCAGGGGGGGAGCCGTGACTGGCCACGGATTGGAGCTTCTATCTCGCAGAAATGCTGTGAGCTGTGAGAACTGATTCACAGTGATGGACGAATACAAACATTTACCTCCGCAGCGGGGTCCTAAGACACCTGTAACACCAACAACACTGACTCGTCTTGCATGGTCCCCCGCATGCAACGAAGAGCAAGATGAGACATATTTCCACTCGTGACCCGCCCCTTTTGTTGATCTTCGTGGGACCATCGTATCCCTCACCATGTGCACTGCGGCGGCGATTCGATCCTCCCTGCGCTCCGCAAGCTGGCTGACTCTGGCCGTGCCATCCCGAACCTCTCTCATCGTCCCCGACTACGGCCCACGCCATGAAGCAAGGGCGGGGTGAAGTGAAACAGACGACCACCAGAGTGCACGTCACGAGGTTGACGAGGGTACGGCTTACAGGGCTTGGGAATGATCAAAACGTAGGAATACTGCTGTGTTGGTATCGAGCGTTGGGTGCTGGGAAAAAGGCGTGAAGCAAAGAGCAGACGGGGGTCGTCGCCGTACAATGCGCAAACCTGGCGAACAATACAGGAGAAAACTCCGTACAGAATAATACCATACGAACGGGAGGATCCACGCCAGTTTCGGCTCACGCGGCACAACTACGAATGGTTTGGGCCGCGCGCTACCGGTAGTTGGCTGCTGCGTCTTGAAGTGATCCGCCGTGCTTTGCGGCAAGTGGACTCTTCCCCCGCGTAACACAAAATTTCTTCGATAGAAAAGCCGGCGACCACCAATTGGTACATGATCTGGCAAAAAAAAGTGTCGTGTTACGTGTTACCTGCTCTTCAAGCCGCCGCTGAAAGCTGCCCAACTCGTCCGTCACCGAGCGGTGCAGATCGCGAAGGCTTTCTTGGGCCCTCGTGACCTGTGTCCGATGAAACCGCCGTTGGTGGGAGGAGGAGGACTTGTGGTGGGGAGGGGCTGCAGTACACATACAAACGGAACGACCGGTGGTGATATCGGTGTAATCTTTAGGGATCTGCACCCGCCAGGAAGCACCCGGTTGTATCATGATAGCGCGCTACGGGTTCTCCGCGTGAGGCCAGGAGATGGCCACGGCGGGTGGGATCTCACGGCAGAGACGAAAGGCAGTCGACAGACTACAAGGGGCAAGGCTCAACACGACCGGGTCGTTGTTTTCTGCCTGAACATGTCATCAGGACCTCATATTTTTGCTACACACGCCAACTCCGTAATGAACACGTCGAAAGAGGCACCTCGGTAGTGAGACCGGCGTCACCGCTGTTGTCCTCGTGCACCGCCTTGCCAAGCGCCTCCAGCTCCTCTACCTCCAGCACCGACGCTCTCAACCTCGCCGCGATCTCCTGCTCCGCATGCAATATCTAGGATTAGAGTCTTCTGGGTCGGGAAATGTTTTCGCAACAAGCACCTCAGCTATTGTACCGTGTTCTCGTGTGACACCACCAACGCCTGTGCCCTCTACCACCCCCTCTCAACACCTCCGTTCCGTCGTCGTGTGCCGCCTGTAGCACGGCCCCATGATTCAGCGGGAGACATCTACTGCTGTAAGCTACATAAACCGTCATGTTTCGGCGAGGCAAGTAGTCGCCCGCAGTTTTTTTTTTTGCGCACACCTCGATTTCCTTCAACGCTCCCGCTCGACGCGCTCGAAATTCCTCGAAGCTCCTGCAGGCAACCAGCGCGGCAGGCACACACGCCGGAGAATAGCGGGTAAGACGGGATTTTGAGGTATGTATGCGTGGACTAAAAGAGACACCACGCAGAGTTTTAACGGAAGGAGATCGCTCTAAACGGGAGGTGTGTGAGAAGCATCGCGGTCCTCCTCAACAAGTGATAAATGGCCTTTTCCACTTGGCGGCAAGCGTAGCTGCTGTGCACCGTGCTTGGCGGACTGCGTGTATCCTCGCAACAAAGCATGGGCGCATGAACCATTTACCATTTACCTGGCTTCCATCTGCAAGGTGTTGGTGACACCTTCCACCTCCTCCGCTAGAACCAGTCGAATCAAATCATTCTCCAAGTGAGGCGGCACAGCGGTTGCCCCAGGGGGCTGCTCGAGCAACACCACAGCGTGGCAATAGGGAGCGCGGCAGATGGGCGGGGGGTTGTGGACGTTGGAATGAATAGGTACCAAGAAGCATGTTTGGAGTGTTGACATACACGGAGTTGCTGCATGGACAGTACTGGTCCGTTCTATGGTTCATATCGGAACAGGTTGTAGATAGTAGTCCGTACATAAGGCGCCAACACCTCTGTGCAGCGTAGGGTATCGTAAGTATTTATCAGTAGTATTTAGCAGAAGCCCTTGCTGTAGGTGCTACAGCAGAACTCCTGTACTGTACTAACATGACTGCATATCCAAAGGTGGCCGCCAGGAAATGGCTGGGTCTTCTTTGGAAAAAACGCATCTTTCTGGATTGGATCGCAGCAACAGCCGACTTAGATCCAGGCTAGCTTACAGATGCACCAAAGGAGCAAAACGAACCTGCTGGTACAGACGATGTTGCCGTTGTATGTTACAGCAAAGAACCCGGCCTTCGGCGGACGAGACCCTGGGCAACGGATGTACTGCTGGATAACCCTCGACAATGTACAAATACACCAGCACACACAACCACAACCGGACCTACCGGGACTAGGAAGCTTTTCACCAGAGCCATCATCGAGACGACCACGGCGAAGACGCACACAGTCTTGCGCCGAGGAGCTTCCACGCCCGCGTTGGCGGTGCTGAGCCACATCGCGGCCCACCTGGATCGCGATGAAGAATAGGCAGCAGTTCTTCCGTCCTCACCCCGCGGCGGAGTGCGTTCTCCTTGGGGAGGGTTCAGCACTGAACCTCCGCCATCATCTCGGGGCCTTCCTTTTCCCTTGCCCTTGCCCGTGTCTGCCCCCACAGGGCCAGCCATCGACACAGCAGCAGCAGCAGCAGAGAGGTATGCACTTACCAACGCGTGTCGGCGTCTTGACTTGACTGACTTCTTGCTTGGGTGGGCGACGCAGAATCGTGAACATTTGAATATGCATACGGCGGTTGTCGACGGCGGCGCACCTTTGTTTGGTATGATACACCCACCACCTGGGTGCACCAGCCACAGCACAGCAGACTAAGCAACGCGAAGCAGGGCGAGGCAGAAAGTACAGGAGTGACGAGAGCATCGATCAGGATGGCCATGCGAAGGAGCCGAAGTGGGGCAGACGGTCAACCTACACCAGACATCACAGAAAAAGTTGTAGGTCAGTGGCCCGCGCAAGGTGTGCGGCGACAACCTTCATTGGACGGACCAACCACAGTTACTGCTGTCTGAGGTAGCGGGCAGCCGCCTGATATTCTCGGCTACCACACGAGAAGTACATCTGCTCACCATGGGCACGTTTCTTTTGTCGTGTGGTACTCTACGGATGAGGCAGAGAGCAAATGCTGATTTTCAGAGAGTCGTCCGAGGGGGTGAAGGGCGCCTCTGTCTGCAGGGCGTAGCTGGATCGGCCGAGAGCGTCCCCTGCTGCAAGCAGGATGTGCTGTAGTCTACATAGCCCTCGAGAACTCTGTTAGCTAGAGAACACGTGTCGTTCCCATGGATCTATGTATACAAGACGTGACCTCTGTAGCAGTCGCTGGCGTACGAATGCAATCTCACACATGGTGCACAAAATCTCGCTGCGTCCAAGACGTGAGTTCACGGCATGTCAAGCACATCACTCGTTCTCAGGGCAGGCGACAGCTCTTACCTCCTTACAATGTACACCAAATAATAATACAAACACACGCGACCCTGTGGTCCCACCTGCTGCCCGCGCCAAACAGCAGACGCCACGGACGAGGAGCAAAGCAGCGACGACGAGGCGCCGGAGGAGGTCAGCGCCGCAGCGGCAACCGCCCTCGCCGGTCGCCGCCGAAAGGCGGAGCACCAGGCGCGCCAGGCGACCGCCGCTCCCAAGAGGAAACGAGCCCGGACGTCCTCGTCTTCGAAAGCTGCTGATGACGGCGGCGGCGACAAGAAGCCCTCGTCCGGGGAAGGCGAGCCGGCAGACGGGCTCGAGCTCCCCTCGGATTTGCTGCTGAGGGTTAAGTCCGGTGGGTTGCAGCGCATGGAAGCGGACGTGTTGGAGGCGGAGGAGCAGGCGGCGGCGGCGGCAGCGGCGGCGACCGGGCAGGGCGGAAGGCGGAAGGCGAGAGCCAAGGCTGGGGATGCCTCGCGGAGGTGAACATTTGCTGCGAATCTTGCCAGTCATGTTTTTTCGGCGCATGTTTGGTTTTGGGTTCTACAGCAGTGCAATAGTCGAGTTCCCTGCTGGTTCCGTGTTGTTTTTGAAAGAAAGCCGTACATGTACTAATAGTTGCTGCGGCGGCGACAGGTGGAGTTTTTCAGAGGAATATGAGAGACCACGTACAAGGTACACTAGTAAGTGACGTGGGCTCATCTCCTGAATGGGCAAGTGTACGATTGAGATTTAATCCGTGGATGCTTTTTGATGCTGAGGTATTTCTCATTTCCATGGAGGCTCCGTCGATGTTGGGCATGATACCTGCAGCTGTCGGATGTTGCACTTGTTGACCTCAGGGTTTGTGGCAACGACGCACAGATCACGTGCTGTGCCGGATTATTTATTTCGAACACTGCAACCCTGGTCGAGACTGCGTCAGGATGCTCACCACAGACTGTTGGCATTCTCGAAGTTGGGAACGTCGTTGTCCTAGTACTGCTGTAAAGTTAAGTTTTTTGTCCGAGGTGGCGCCTTGCTCCTGAAAATATGTTTCTCCCGCACGGCCTCGTTGTCCCTTTGCCTTGCGTCGGGGCCTTCTCTACCGAGCCCCTGCGTGCCATTGGGTCCTTGCTTCTTCTCGGCAGCCACTAGACCTTCCCGCTCCGGCGTAGCCTTCTGTGCATCTCACCGTGCGTCGGTACAACCGTTCGTGTCATCTCTTGGGCCAACCCCTCTCCAGTGCTTTGCCCACTTGAATCTAAACTCGGCAATATGGTACGTTTCAGCTGTAAATTTATGCGCCACTTGCTGTCTTGCTGTAGCGTTCCGTCTCGGTGTCTGATACTCCCCATGCGTAAGACCCACTCTCCTTCTGAACCCCATCACCCCCCGCCGCCCCCCTCTTGCCAATCCCTCTGGATGTAACCCCCTTCATGTCACTTGGCGCCTCTTCGTCTCAGCGACAATTTCCGACTGGTGGTGTTAGACGAGGATGACGGTGGCGTTGATGCCGATGACGAGAGTAAGGCCCACGCCGCGGAAAGTGCCAAGAACTTTCTTCGCGATCGCATGGGGAGCCGGAAACGAGTTAGCCATAGCTTGTTCAAAGCTCGCAAACGGCTCGGCCCTTCGCCGAATTTCTGATCCCTCGTTTTGTCTCTTCTCACTTTCCGTGTAGTGTACTCTGCCGTTGATTTGGTTGTTGTAATGTCCGTTGGCAGCTGTTTATTCTGTCGCTCCTTTGGCGCGCTACAATATACAGGCGCAGGTCTGACTTTCCCTCAGGTTGTCCATGATTATGGTTTAGTCTGCTCAAACCTCTGTCGCGGGTGTTAGGTCGTGCGGCTCGGATGGGGTTTCAGAGTTGTGTTCACTCGTTTCGTCGTGTGTGTTGTTAGCTCCGTTCCTGAAACATTCACCTGCAGGTCAAGCATTTGTTTGGTTTTGGGGGTCTAGTGATAGACCACGTCGACCGCCCTTTTGGTCGGGTTGCGGGTTGTGTAGCTGTGGCTGCCGGTGTGGTCATTGCTGGCGCCCAGTATAGCGGTTGACGCCTAGGCGGGGCGATGCATGCCGTCTGGGAGGAACTATGTGGCAGTTGGCACAGCAGCACGAAACGAACAACAACTTCGGACACAAATAAATAATGATTGCGTACCCGTCTATTATAGGTACCATGGTCGGTGGGTTTCAGGTAGGAAGAGAGGGCTTAGTAATGTTTGGGAAGCGCGGGTTGAACACATGTCCATTTGCGTCAACTTTGTACTTCCGCGCATATCTTTTTTTTTGTGTAGAGGGATGTATTTTCGCCTCACTGATGCCACGGCCTACCGTACAAAGTCCGCTGTCGAAGTTTTCTTCCTTGGACACAGAACTCCGCGTTCGTTCGTGCTCGCCATCCACGCAACCATGGGCAACGTTGAAGAATCCCCAAGAACGTAAGCCTTGTGGCGGACTCTTAAGTCGGCGTCATGCTGGCACAAACTAACGTCTTTCTCTTTGCTTCCTCTTTTCGGTCCGGAAGCGACTGACAAAGGATAGATTCGAGCCCGAGCAAGTACACCCCCTCGCCGATCACACCTTCAGCTGTAAGTTGCCGTGCTCTGAAACCACAATGCCCCGCCGTAGGCCTTCCGTACTCAAATACAACGCGGCCGCGAATAACAATTCCCTTTGTGTGTATGCTGTATGATAGTGTGAGATCAGGAAGATCGGGAGATATTCAGTAGGGGGGCTTGTTCGAAGATCAAATGGCTACCAAGGTGACACCAGATACCGCACCCCTCGGCCGTTTTTCAAAGCTCGATTTCTCGCCAGCAGAAAGTGTGGCTTGTCGAACGTGGCGACGTTGGAACCGTCTGGTCGAGAGCTTTCCGAAAATGCACTGTTTTGACTGTGGTACTGTAGCATCTTCGCCGTGGAGTAATCGAGCTTTTGTTTGAAAATCAAGTGATCAAGGGGCAATATCATAGACCACTTGCAACAGGACCCGCCGCACCAAAAAAAATGCTCTGGGCGGAGGGGAGGTTCTGTGGGGGATATGTTCAAAAAATCATAACTTTTTGCCCCGGGATCGGATTTTCATAAAACAATTTGCGTTGGATAGCTGACGAGCTGAAGTTTTTTCAGCGATTTTTGTTTATTTGTTTTGGAAACGAGGCACAAAGATAAAGTTATTCTTAAACGAAAATCAACCCTTTCCCCCGAACTAAATTTATATTTTCTCGAACAGCCTGGGTTATTCAACAAAAACCCAAGATATTCGTCCCCCCGTTTTCCAAAAAACAAGGCAAAAATCAGAAAAAAACTTCAGCTCGTCAGCTATCCAACGCAATTTATTTTATGAAAATCCGAATCCGGGGCAAAAAGTTATGATTTCTTGAAAATATCCCCCGCAGAACCTCCCCTCCACCCAGAGCATTTTTTTTTTTTTGGTGCGGCGGGTCCTGTTGCAAGTGGTCTATATCTTGTGCCACCTACGGTATAGTACCGTTTTTCGATTGCACGGAACCCCCTCTTAATAACTCCGGGAACTCAGACAGCAGAGACTTGACTTGCGCTTGAAATGCGATAGTCCACGATTCCGTTGCATCCCGATGAAGCGCTCTCTCTACGTGGGTGAGTGCTAGTATTCTATGGACACGCTGTTGAGGCCTTTATGGCACAAGGACGGCGTAGATGAAACGGGCGGGATCCACCGCGTCCCATCGAAAAGGTTCAACACCTACCGCGTAGACGTCTGCGGCAGTTGTACTAAACTGCTGTAGCTGTTTCGAATGTGATTCTAAGTCAAGGCATTCAGTGGCGTGTGCTGTGTGGTCAAGGCAGCCATTTCACGTGTCTTGCCGGCGGTGGGTATGGGGATGCCTTTGTGTACCTCAAGCAGGGCAAGCTCGAAGGCCTGAAGTCTGCAGTCAATTGAGATTATGAAAACTTGACAGTCCCGCCGACCTGACGCTGGGGTTCGATTTCTCTATGCATACAACAATGTGACCTCTTTGTTTCTTGTCATGCAGTGCAATCTATTTGCTACGTGCTCTCTGTTCAGAGCAGAGTCACCGCTGTAAGGCATATTCTCATGCGCAATAGTGTTTGCCCTTGCCCACGCAAACTTTGAAGCACTCAGCTCGAAATCCCCTGCCGTTCCGCACTTGTTGCACATTCGCATCGTGTGTCGGCCCTGTAAAACGTGAGTCCACAATCAGCGGCGGCGTCAAAGAAGCGACTAACGCCGTTCGTCATGGTGCTTGGCAGGTTTTTCTTTGCAACACGCACCATTTCGCTGGGCGAGACTCTTTTTGTCTAACTTCGCTGGCCCGGACACCCCCGGGGCCGCCCTACCCCGTCTCTCCGAATTTTCGTGCTGTTGACTTGCTCGCCGTAAAGGTGCTGCGATTGTCGCAGCCCCAAGACTGCTCGCTTTCCACGTCCCGCCTGCTCCGGGTGGCCTTTGCGCCTCTGCGAGCACCAGCAACCGATGGCGGGCTGTATCTTCCGCGGGCGGTGGCGGCAGGGCGGGGAAAGCAGGCCTTGCCGCTTTGGGGAAGGGCTTGGGTTGTAGTTTGCGAGCTAGGCCAGGCTGGTGCACACGCTCCTTTTCGTCGCGACTGGGTGCGTCGGCAGGAAACGGCAACGCTTCTTCTCCGCCACCACCATCGCTGCAGGTATGCATACATGTAGTTGCTGCTGCTGTAGTTGCGTATTATTATAATACTCAGAAACGGTTGGAGGATTTCTGTTTTGGGTTGACCAGCATGATTGGTGTGTGTTGCGAACGCCGTTTGTCTCACGCAGCAATTGTCGTGCTCGCAAAATTTCCGCCGGGTTCTTTTCACGAAACTCCTTGTTGTATATGCGTCTGCTGTTCTGCGCCCACCCTACCCCCTCTCCCTTGCACAAACAACTAAACCTCGTCCGACTGGGCCGCGGCACGCGGTCGCCATGAACGCCGACGCGCTCAGCTCATCTCGGTTTAACCTTCTTTTGTACGTCCGATGTTTCCGCCATCCGCAGAACATCCCGCACACTTCTCTGGTGCTGAGGGACGAGGCCACAGGCTGCGACATTTACTTGGTGAGAAAAAAACTACTCCTGCTTGTCGTCTCGGTTGCTTTTTCCTTGTGGTAGGTGGTGATGCTGCTGCGGTGGCGACGGCTGTTATCGTTTGTCGCTGTTGGGTGGCTTTGGGGTTCATTTTGCCGCACAGTCTTGAACTATGCGGAGGGGATGCCGCCTTCCCGCACAACGCCTCTACATTACCGCACGGAACCATTTGTGGATTCCGAGCAAGAGATCTCTTACGCTTCCCTCTCTTGTGGCATGTTGTTACCTGTAGGTGGGCTGCCTGCACGGCTCTCACGCATCGGGACGAGACGTGCAGGACGTGCTCGAGAAAGTGCGGCCCGGGGCGGTGGTGTTGGAGTTGTGCGAGAGTCGGCATAAGGCACTCCGGCGGGACCTGGAGAAGAGAGCAAAGGTAACCGTAGAGCAAAGGGCGGGGAACAGTAGGGTCTGTTTGAGAAAAGTCCTACTACTGTAGATGGCGCCGTTGCTCAGCACGCATGGCGGAAGGTGACTGACGGTGTTGACGTACTGTACATAGGTGCTTTTGTTTTTGTTTCACCACGATTGTTTTTCGTTGCTGCGGCTGTTGTTGCTCGCTCCCACAAGGGGGGGGAGCGAGGTGGATCCTCGGAGAGGGGGGCTACGAAGGAGACCGCTTAAAGCATGGCCGACACTTCGTTGGTGGTTTGTTGGATAGGCTGCGCGTGGAGGGTCGTGCGTGGTATAGGCTCCAGCACCGTGGGTGTAGGGTGATGTCCGTTTTCCGCCCTGTTTTGGGTGTTGAACAATGCCGGCAACCGAAGGGTGTTTTCGTGGTGTGTTTATGTGCTCGTGCAACAACATCAGAGAGGTCGCTGATGCCCGTTCGCGTGCTGTACAGAAAGAGCCCTGCTCTCTGGGCTTGTGCCATCAGCCGCCGTCCGCCGGCCTCCTTGTGCTGCCACTCCTCAATAGGTCTTCTTGCGCCGCCGTTCCCCCGGTGCTGCCAATAGCTTCGCCTCCACAGCGTTCTCGTCCCTCGCACTCAATTTTTGATTGTTTGCCACCCCGTCCTCTCCGGTGTTGTCTTTGCTGCACTAAATGCACCACGAAATGACCGACTGCCCACGCGACGAAGTTCGGTTTGATGTATAAATAGAGAGACCCTAACCCAAACCGTATCCCCCAACGTTCAACCGATTTCCATTCCGTCCTTCATCCAACATGTTGCTTAATAAAACCGGCGTGGGCCACCTGGAAATTTCCTTGGTTGTCCGGCGCTCTACTTAAACTCTGCGCCGTGGCGGAATCCCCCTCCTCTCCGCACCGTTCCACGCTGCCGCGGCAATATAAACAGGGGGACGCGCCCCTTGAGGGCAAAGAGAGGTGGGCGTCGGCCTTCAGCTCCTGGGCCAAGGGGGTCAAGAAAACCTCCGCGAAGTCGGGTCTCGTGCAGGTGACCAACGTGCGGCACAATAGCCGCTGTTTGTTTTCTCTGTGTTTGTTGTGTCATCAGAGCGGTCGCTCCCTCTCCACCGACTGGAGCGCACGGCCATCCCGAGGGACGAATGCCTATCGCTGTCCCCCCTCTATTTCTTCGAGACGCAATATTAAATACCCGACGTCGCTATTTTATCATGCCTTCTTTGCGTAAAAAAATAATCGTGGCATGCGGGGCACCGACCGACCAGGGCATCCTGTCGGGCCTCCTGAGCGCGCCGTACGTCGTGCAGCGCCTCGGGGACTTCGACCCGGGGCTAGAGTTCAAGACGGCCATGGTCTACGCCGACCCTTCCGTACGGCCGGGCTACTCGACAGGGGTAGCACGCGGGATGGTTTCGCCAGCAGCGGGGGGGGGAGCGGGTCCCGGGGAGTGCTCGGTGGTGCTTGGCGATAGGGATGTACAGGAGACGCTGAGACGGCTTGGTGGAGCCTTGACAGCGCTCACGGGTCGAGGGGAGGGTGGTGATGAGAAACACGGGGTGGGTAGGGGAGACGGGGCGCCGGAGGGAGCTTCGCCTGGGGCGGGCGGCGGCGGGGTTAGTGTGGGGACGTTGGATGCTGCCGAGGTGAGCAGAGGGAAAGAGGAAAGTTTAAGTTTTGTTGTTGTTTTTTGTCTTGTCTGGCAGAGGGTCGTGTCGTTGTACTTGAACGGCGATATTCGGTGTGTATTATGGTTAAGGGGTTTCTTCGGATGCTGTCGAACGGCTGCGGCGACACGGCTCCACAACACTGTCTCGGGGCCTTTGGTCCACGCGACCGCGGTATTTCGGATACATACGGAGAAGAGATTGATTGCCGCTCGCAAGTTCTTGGCGAACGTTCTAGTTTTTGCTGGTCGTGATGGTACCTCGGCGTTGCATGACGTAGCCACCTCAGGTCGTGAATTGTGTCATGAGGTGCTCTCGCGCAAAGGTTTTCGATGGTTTCATGATGCAGCGGGGGTCCCTTAGTAGTGCCGGCTGAACACTGCCACTGCCCGGTATTATGTGGGTGGAATCGCTCCACGCAGATAGAATTGTTCACGCTGTCTCAATCTCTGGATAATGTCGGTTGCCCGCTGTAGTACCGGTGGGTCTGGCGGGAACATACAGGCACTTTTGAGGGACCCCAACTGCGTGGGGTTGGCGCTGGGTTGCCGCGTGCTTTGTGACACCATTGTAGGTGTTTCGCTCCAGTGATCTGAAGCTGGAAGCATCAATATATCATCGTATGCCCCGAACGTTCTTGACTGCTTGATGATTGGGCCGAAGATGCCGCACAACTGACGTGCGCCACGCCCGTACTACTGACGGGTGCCACGCTCCAAACGCCCTCGAAATGCCGAGAGAAGAGGAGTGGTATGGTTTTGACGGGATGATGCTGATGATGCTGGGTTTTCGTATCTACGTTTTTTTTTGCGTCGTTGCAGACCGAGGCAACCTCGGGGTGGAATTGGGGCACGCTAGCCTCTGATGCGAGAATAGTGCGAGTGGCAGTGGTCGGGCCTAGCGGCAGGCAGTGGCCAGACTCGCTGAACGTCTTGGACACCGTGTGGAGGGAGCGACAGGTGGGTATAGTAGTACAGGCGTGCCCGCTTTTTACAGGGTTGCTACTTTTCCTTTTACAGTGGCAAAGTTTAACGCTCACAGTTGTGTGGACATCCTTGCTTCACTGTGTGAGCTGGAGCGTCTTGCTTTTTTTGGAGAAATGGGCCGCCCGCCCATGTGTTGTCGGCGATCCTCCCCCCACACCCCTCCCAGATTCATTTTCCCAGCCTTCTACCCCCCCCCCCCCCCTTCCCCTACCCTTAGGCGTTGGGGATGCTCTTGCTGCCGCTCTTGCTCCCCATGATGGTGGTTTCCGAGACGTTGCAGAGGTCCATCGGGGGCGTCGCTACGGCAACAGTGGCGGCTTCAGGCAGCGGCGGTGGGGCTTTACGGGGGTTCGGGGCCTTCGGCGGGGTGGGCGGGGTTAATAGTGCCGGTTCGGCAGGGGTGGGGGGAGGAGTGGCGGCCGTCGACGTCGACCTGGGGCGTTTGCTGGAGGGAACCAGCGATGTGTTGGACACGCTGTTGGTGGTGCTGTCCGTCTGGTACATGCTGAGGTTTTTTCGGTGAGAAAAGCGTGCAGCAGGCGAGGCGGGAGTAGTTTTGGTGTGAATGGTGGTGTGTGAATGAGGCTGTCGGTTGGTTGTCTATTAATTGTATTTTGTTGGTCGATTGTGCGTAACGGCAGTGCGTGGAGTTGCGCTAATTGTGTCTCAGGCATATATTTGGTTGATGACGTGTCCAACACGCTGTTCGCGATGTGGTCGGTTTAGTTGTGTTTTCGGAGACCATGTGCGGAGGTTTGGTTGGGGGAGGAAGGCGGCATGACCCGCAACTTGATCACATCGTTTCGTGATCAGAGCTTGGCACGATACTGCACCCCGGTGATGGATTACGCCATGGGGCACCGGGCCGGAAATCATGCAAGCACAGCGAAGAGAGGGTTTTGTCCACACGTCTTCACGAACCTGCCCGTAAGGACGAACGATTGGACGCCAAAGAACCCCCAATAGCGCACGTTCTTCGACGTCCTTCCCTTCCCTTCACGGCCGAGTGTTTTGACTTCTGTCGTTACGTCACTCCCAGCTACGATGCCCCCATATTTTCCAAACGGTAAAATACGACTAGACCGGATGGGTTCGAAATTTGGAACAGCATGGGTAACCACGGACCTCATCGGACGTCTTGGAACTTGTAAGCGCAAAAAGAGCTCAGATCCTCTCTTCGCTCCAAAAACTAATAGTGAGCAGCTTTGATCACAAAATTCTTGAGATATCCCGCTATTGTACCCCCCCCCCCCCCCCGGTTTAGGCTGGTGATCAAAGAGCGGGACGATGTGCTCGCCGATAACGTGATGAAGGCGTGCCGTGACCACCCCGGTCGCCCGGTGGTGGCGGTGCTGGGGCTGCTCCACTGCAACGGCGTCGCGGACATTATCCGAAGTTCCGCCGGTTTCCGAGGCGTTGTCCGAGCGGGGCGCGAGGAGTGAAAAACGGAGGCCCCCCGCCTCTGTGGCTGTCTGGCTAGTCCTGTTGTGAAGTGCACCGACTTGTTGTAGGGACGAGCATTGTTGCTGTAGTGGTGTCATGTTCGACTGCTCAGGAAACGGGGCGTTGATTTTTTGCTTGCTTGGGCAGCCACGCTGAGCGAGACTTCTCTGGCCGGCTACTGTATCAGGTGCAGCGTTTTGTTAGAGAAACTGTAAATTTGTGTGCGTTCGCAATGTGGGGGTTTGTGGGCACATTTTAGTAGTTGATGTTTTGGTAGGGGAGGCGGCGGGAGATAGCGATTTCACCACGTTTGTGTATACTTTTATGTTGGGTTTCGGGCAATTTTTTATTATGGCCGGGAGCCCACCCGGGGGCATCGCTGTCGATTCCTGTGAGACAACCACCCAGGGGAGGCAGATCATGTATTTGCACCAGCACCAGGGTGTACTATCAATTCGGGCGTATTTCGTGTCGTCCAGTGCAAATTCAGAGAGAGAGAATGATGTGCGCACAGCGTGCGAGTGAGCGGCGGTGGTGGTGTTCAAAAAATTAGTGCAACTAAGAAAAATTCACATCCGAGGCGAAGTGCAACTAAAGTTGCCAAGTGGCGCTCTCTCCGCACGCAAGTTGGGTACAGGATGGGTGATCGTGCGAGAATACCGCGTGTGCTGGCGTTAACCTTGCGTGGCTCAGAGGCGGGAAAGGGAAGAGGCATGGGGGAACTAACTCACCCTCTGACTTGCTTGGTCATACGTGTCGTGGAAGTGTCACCGCAGCAGCGAAAAACGATGAGATTTCGTTGCGGGATTCGACTTCCATGCTTCCTTTCCTGAACGTCCTATGGTACCACAGAATCTCTTGAAGAAGCAGAGGCGGCCCCGGATGTATGCATGATACGGCTGGTTGATGCGGCAAGATGTTCGCCACAACGGCCACAGGTTGCCGTGTTTCACTGACTCGAACAATCTCCACGAAATCTTCGAAAAGCATATATCGACACAATGAAGTAGCTTAGCCTCTCCCGTGACGTCCCCTCATGGGGTCCCAGATCAACCATATTTTGGTTTCAACCTCACTGAGACTGACGTTAGTTCATTGACCAGCCGGTTAGCGCGGTCGATCGTGGTAAAAAAAATCGATTACCTGTAGTTCCGCTCTGCATTCTGACCTTTCTGAGCACTTTCCGCGGGACCACAATTAAGCGACCCTTCCATCTCTCGGGTGCAACGACGGGAGCGCGCCGCGCAGAACTGAAGAGTTAATTGCTGAGTGGAACGTTGTGTCAAACTGTTCCAAAACTGCATTAGTACCGCACCTACTTCAAGCACCGTGGTAACCCAACCAATAGGCTTGTTCGACGATGCCATTGCCCACAGGGTTGAATAATTCTTGCCCATCTTCACGCCCTTGTCCACATTTCCGGGCTTGTGTAGCCCCATCGCTCCCGCGACCGAATATGGCGCTACGGGTGGTAGTGCACACATCGAAACACATCCTCCACGATTACGGGCTTCGATCATCCTCTACACTCGCACGACCTGTATATATATTCAGGTATCGCCAACGCTACCACAAGCAGGGGACAGACAACACCAACGTCGATCTTCGCAGCCTTCGCGAAACGACATTCTGCTAACACTCCAAAAGCAAACTCGGCGTCTCGAGCCCTCTAAAAAGGAGTGTACTTTAGGTAGACCTTGCCCCACGGTACACGCACGGCACGCCCGATGCACGAACGAATAGCGAGCGCGGCACGCCCTACTGTTCTTCATGTGGAAAGTGCTTTTCCGGCGTTATGACTTGGAACGTGAATCTCGGGCCTAAAACTTCCAAACAAAGAGAGGGTTTGTCATTGGGCAAGAAAGTTTTTATCATTCCCAATCCTTCAGCTCTCGTTCTTGTCTTGTCCTCCTCCTCCGGGAGTAAAGAACGACATGAGAGAGGGCTGCTTGCTCTTGTTCTTTGTCGACGACCGCGGAGTAGCCGCAGCCCGTGCTTCCGGCGAATCGTTACTTGGGGTGGCAGGAAGCGCGGCCGCGGGACTGGCGGCCTCTGGTGCCGACGGATCTGCCCCGAGAAAAAAACAAGATAAATATCGTTGCATATAACCATTGGACGTATAGTCTGTGGCCTTGTCGTTGGTTTCAATCTGTCCCAGATCGATGCCATCGAAGGCACGAAACTAACGTTTTCCTTCACTGCAACACGTTTTTCTTCTTACGTGGCTTGCGACCGCGGGTAACATTTTGGCTACGAACTATGTGACAAACAACAACAACAACAACAACAACAACAACCCATCTAACCCTTGAAGGCAAGGTCGAGGGAGTGAGTGGGGGGGGTGTACTCATAGTCGTCCATGCCGTAGTCGTTAGACCATTGACCTCGCATCCCTACAAAGCCAGGACGGAGCACGCCGGGTTCTCACCGGACCAGCCTCTCACATCACCAAGCGCGAAGCGCCGTGAGGTATTTGGCGAGTCGCATGAAGGGTGAGCTGCATCCTGCTAAGGGTGTTCGGCATCTTGTGCTGACTTCCTTTCGTACGGATGACAGCTGCGTATGACTTAATTTATTTTCTGGTGCTTTCACTTCCGGAGACAGTTATAAGCACTACTGTGTAACTGCCTCGAGGATGCTTTACCATTTTAACACAACGTGGTGTGATCATCCCCCTTGCGCGGAGTGAGGCTTCTCAACCCCGCACAACATGATCTACTCGACCACCATTATGGTCACCGCAAAAAAAAAAACAGAGGTAAAAAAAAAAAACGGTAACCTGGTTGCCGAGTTCACGAAGTGAATTAGCTTATTTTACAACGTCGTTGCCAAGCGACGAAAACCCAATCCCGATGGCAAACACCGGGGGGGGGGGTGAGGGGGGGGGTGAAGAGCACATGGCCATCACAACAACGCAGAGCCACGATGACAACGCCGCAAATACCTATAGGAAGCAACAAGCAACGGAGAACGGAACGCAACCATCCCACCCCAACCAGACTTTACCTTCAGGAACAATCGCAGCAGCAGCGGGAGCATTGTCCCGCTGTGAAGACTCGCTACCACCACCCGGGGCGTCGCCGCCGCCCCCGCCGCCCCCGCCGCCCCCGCCGCTGAAAGCCGGTACAGCAGTCGAAGCAGCTGGTGAAGAAGAATCGGCGTCTTCCTTGACCAGAGTCTCCTTCATCCGGTTCTCCATGGAAGCCAACACCCTCTGCTTCCACGCTGTGTACTCCTCATCCCCCCGTGGCCCTTCGCCCCCCGCCCTGGGTCCAGTCCCGCCCACACACCCCCCTCGCCGGCTGCCGTCCCCCCCCGCCCTTCCTCTTCCCCCGCTTCCTTTCCCTGAACCCGCGTAAGGATTGCGGACCGCAGCGCAAGGCTTCGGGGCGTAAGGGTTGTGGACGGCGGCGGGAGGCGCTCGCGACGCCGATCTAACGGCCGCGGCAGACCCGTTGTCAACACCACTACCGCTCACCGTGGCCGCGACGGCGGCAGCAGGAGATGCGGTAGCAGCGGTGGCGTGCGGGTTGCAGACAGCGGCTCTCGGCGGGGCGGGGGCGGTGCACCTGGCGGGAACGGTGGCAGAAGAACAGGCGGCGCTGTCGTGTGGCTCGGGTCCGCCGCCGGCGGGCTCGGCAGGGGGGGCGGCGGCGGCTTCGGTGGCATCGGCGGTGGGACGCGGACGCTTGGTGGCGGGGCGGTGGTGGGTCCTGTCGTTGAGGGAGTCGCTCGCCTCGTTGCTTCCGCCCGGTTCCAACTGCAGCAGCAGCAGTGGCAGTAGCAGTAGCAACGGCAGCAGCAGCAACAGGATTGGCGGTAGAAGGAGGGGCGGCAGCAGGAGCGGTGACGGAAGCGGTCGGGGGAGCCGTGAAACCAGAACAGTGACACACACCAGGACGGGATGGGAAAAGTCCTGCACCGCGTGGGTGCAAGGGAGAGGCTGCAACAAAAGGCCATCCACGATGTTGCGACGAAACTATCCATGAAGAGGACGTTGATCGTAGGACCTATATACCTGTTGTGAATCAATCGTCAGGCGTGATGACGGCCTCGTTTTCAAGTGCTGCAGCAAAGCCTTGGTGTGAGGGGAAAACGAGCTGCTGTCTGTCTGCAACAATATTTTAATGTATGTAATTTATCGTGCAACATACTCCCGAGAGTGCTTATGCGAAACGCATAAAGAAAAGGCAAAATTCACACCTTCCCAAACGACCAATCCACATCGAAAACGTGCCGTTCGTATGTCCCAAACAAGCATGCCAACACATACAGGCGGCATCTTCCCCGCCCCATTTTTTTTCCTTCACCGCGAGAGGTTGTTCGTACGCATTCTTCAGAGCACACATTCTCAAAGTCCTACCCACAGTCTTCAAAGTCTGATCGGCGAGACCTATGTCAAATTAACCACACCTCGACACCCCCAGTCACCATCCACGCCGAACCCCGATGTGTCCCGCCACAACGCACCACAAGAAACGAGGCCACTCTCCCAAACCAACGAGACGAAGACGCATGTGCATGGCACACGTGCTCACAGGCACTCACAATCTGAGCGGAGCGACCAAGAGAGTCGAAAGCCCCGCCTCTCCTCTCGCGCGGTACCGGTACCCTTCACTGCGGCGGAACCGAAAAAAAAAAAAAAAAGCTAGATATCTACCGGGCACATCTCACCGGGGCGACCGTCATGCCCCCGTGCCGCTTCCGCTGCGTCGCCGCCTGGATGCTCCTCGCCAGCGCCGTGACGTGGCTTCCCGGCGCCCCTAATCGCTCCCTCCCCCCTGACAGAGGGATCCGCCGCCGGTTCCCGGAGGCGGCGAAACCGCCGCCGTTTCGGCGCTGAGGGCCCGAGGAGGCGAGCGTGGCAGAACGAGCGGGGCCTTGGGCAGCGGACCCTTGGGGGCGTTGTTCGTCCTTCACGCCTGATGGTGCTGACGAGCTACCGTTGTTTTTGTTGTTGAGGGCCGCCGCTTTCTGGAATCGTGAGAGTCGTTCGGCGGTCGGCTTGTCGCTCACCGACACGCCGAGGGTGCTGTAGCACAGGTCCTAGTGATAGTAACGCCAAGCAAACGACAAACCGACCGTAGCATATGCAGTGAGGAAGGGAGCGAGGAGCACTGCTCCCGTCGGTTGCACGTCTAGCCAAAAGAAGAACAAACAACAATAATAATTCCGCGACCGCAGTAGCGAAAAGAAAACAGCCAGCATCAAAGCGTGTCGAGCTTTGTGCAGCTGCGTTAAAATGGTGCAGACAGCTGCATGTGCTTGGACCACTCTTGGGCTGAGCGGATAACAGCAGAATGTGGAACGAAATTCATAATGAGAACAGTTACAACACCATCACAACGCACAACAGACGACCCGAACAACCCTTTCAACGGACCATGTTCGGCCGGCACCCGCATTCCCCAACGATCTACACTACTACCAACACCGAGCCAAGCGGGCTCCAAACGCAAGCGTGTGGTGACGCCATGTCCTGGTCAACAAAGGTCTAGAGATTCCTATTCGTTGTGCCCCGCAAGCCGAGCGGGCGGCGGCGACGGCGTTACCTCACCAGCATGCTGCGGCAGACGGCCATAAACTCGTCCTCTCTTACTAGCGACAGGTCCAAGAGGCGCTGCTTGTCCACCGGATGCTGTTTTCGTTTACAGCACGGCGGTACAGAGCGCAGACGTGGGGGAAAACATGAGCGTCGCACCGCATGATGAACTCGAGTACCACAAGCGGGCGGGTATCATGTACAGGACGGGAGAGGATAACTTGACAGCAGCGGAAGTGGAATCACCCCCTGGCATGTGGCATGCTCCTGGCCATACCACGGGTCTTTAGAAGAGTCGTATTCCTGCAGGGATGACATGTTAAGCAGGGCGGGCTACATTCGGAAGCCACCGCCACCTTGCGCCTCCACCCACAGGGCACTCAACTCATGAAACTGGCACATGATGCGTCCAGTGCCATTCGCCGGCAAGGAGATATGTACCCTAGAGAAGACAAGCGCCCGACCTCTTCCTTCCTCCCTCGCTCCCCGCATCACCTACCGGACACCCCCCAGCCTGTCGCTGAAAAACGGGAGTGCATCGCTGCACGACCCCGATCATGGCCTAACACTCCTCTCGCAGGAGTCGTAATCGTACCTTGAGCTTCTTGGCGCACAGGTAGAAGGCGGCCACTGCGTACACCGTACCGTCGAGGTCGATGCCTGAGACCTGTCTCACGGGGTACGAGGCTAGGAACCGCTCCTTTGTCCGTTCGTTCGTTCGTTCGTCGATTTGTGCCGGCGGCGGCGGCGGCGGGCGGGCGGCAAAGAAGTGCAAGAATAAACGTGTGGCGTGGGACAACGATTCGACGTAAGGTTCGCGTAGGGGCATGGTCGGTGTTGGCGAGACGTACAAGCAGAGAAACGGAGATGGAGGGATGTGCGCCGGTACGGAGGGTTTCGATGATGTGTAGGCTTGGCGGCGATGCCAAGAGATGGTCGACTTAGTCCGTTGGGTTCCGTCCCTCAGGCAGGCAACACCCGCGCGCACGTACAGCGGGGGCACGGCCGCCACGGCCAGTAACACACACCATCACGAAAGAATCCTGCATGTACCAATACGAGAGGGTTCGTCCGTGTTATTGCAGCTGTGATGCGCACTACTGTAGGAAGTCAGGAAACAAAACTGTCCCGGCGTGGTCTGCGCTCAAATCTAACGAGAGAGAGAGCGACTCCATACGTTCTCTTCTCTTTCTCTCTCTCTCTCGCCATGCTCCTCGACGCTTCAGAGCCCCTTCAAGTCAGGCCCGAGTAGACGAGAATATCGGATGTAACGCAGCAGAAAGTGCTACCCTAGACACTGCAGGCCACACTGTCTATGTCGAGTTTTGTGGGATGGCTCGTATCTCAGGTCCGAACGCTGCTTCAAAAGCGCGCGAACGGCTCGGCCGAACTGCTAACGACCCGAATGTCGGCCGAACTGCTAACGACCCGAACGCATAACTCTCGCAACGTATCTGGCGCTCGGCTCCACTGCAAAACACCGGAACGGTCCACCGACATTGCTGTTGTACCTTGTATCGCTTGAGTTCCACGGCGGCCTTCATGCCCGCGCTCTTGTCTCCCACGCTTTCGGCTATCTCCTTGCACGTGTACCGCCGCTGCACCCCTAGCAGCCTGAAACGGGGAAGGGGCGGCACCGATACGTGCAGAGCAAGGACTGCTGTTCGGGGCGCAAACGCTAGGCGCGGTGGTCGGCGAGTGAATGTTTGTCGAGGAAGGAAAGGCGCAAGGGCTCGCTTGGCAGCAAGGTGTTCTATTCTATACCTAGAGAGTGCGAAATGCGTCTATTTAGGTGCGTGTGCATCACATCGATCCGTCACCCCCACCCAAGCTATTTAGCATGCGCCGTACTGTTCCTTCACATCACTAGCAAATCAGCGTGACCCGAACTGCATACTGTACGTTATACCGCACCGAACGAAACCTTCCATCCCGTAGCCGACCGGTTCGACCCATGCACATCACGGACGGTGCCGAACCACGCACCGCAAGCCACGCCATACCTTTCTTTTTTCATCATCTGCTGCAACACACGATCGATGCCCCTACACTGTACCTCTGTGCCGTGCCGAGCGCAGCGACGTAGACGCTTTCCGAAGGCGCGCCGCAGAGCTTTACCGCGGTCTTCTGCGGAACGGGGCAGTTGAGGGCGCGACAGGCCAAGTCGAAGGCGATGCAAGTCCGAAAGAGGTCGCCCCGCCCCAGGGTCCCGGGCCTGCACTTGGTGTCCATTCGCCGTAGAATCTGCTCGGAATTGTGGGGTCGTGTTCGGTTGGACGTTGGGGCGCGCCGTTGTTGCGAGAGAAGTCTAAGGTTTGCCTCGAGTCTGCACCATACTCCAAGTCGATCTACCGTAACCTACTGCCGTGGGCGGGTCATGTGGTGGGTAAGATGCCCGTGGGAGCTTGCTGGCGACAAAGGGCATGATCGATCACAATGTGAGATGCATCAAACGCAGACATCCGCTGCTCGTCTGAGCAAGTGCAGAGTTCGGCTCAGTTGTCTGCGGGGAAACGGCATGTCGGAACGTTTCTCAACATGTGATTTAAGGGGTGGATCGCGAAAGGAAAGTTGGAAGGTGGCATCTTCACAAAAAAACGGCAGGAGAGTGCGCTGTGGGACCACCACCTTACCCTACCTCAGCAGTGGCTGAGCGAGATTGGGATCGCGTACAGCGTACAAGATGCGTCGGGTGTAAGAGGCAACACGTCATGGCATGGCGTACATATCACATGCCCACGATACCCGCACGACTCATTGCTGCAGTATGTACATGCACACACCTTACTGCTGCTGTGTACTACTCTGTATCGCATACCACATGACGACGGCACATGACGCCAATACACCCCCGCGTTAAGTGTTTCCGTCGTTACATGTATCATACCGCACAACATATGCGAGGGTGGAGAGAGAGAGAGAGAGAGAGAGAGAGAGAGAGAGAGAGAGAACATACTTTACAAGACAAGCCTACATACGTGTTTGCATTCGCCTATTGCTGCTCTACAGGCACACTCCCATGCATGTACAGAAGCGAATATGCAACAATACCAATACCAACACCAAGTAGCTTTTGGTGCGACTGCTGCAAATTGTGTAGAGCATGTCGACACCAGGGAAACGTCGATACAGAAATAAGTACGTGCTATAGTGCTCCTCCGACTCGTACTTCGTGGGCTCCTTTTCTTGCAAACCTTCTTGCGAGCTCTACATCGTACACAGACTTCGCTTCTTCCCCCTGCAGCAACAGAGAAATTCGGTTGGGTTTTTTTTTCAAACTTTCAAAAAAATGTAAAAATGTAGCGTCTAACGCACCTCTTGGGCTTTGGTAATGGTTTCCGTGGAGTCGACGTTACAAGCCAGCCGCAATCGCTCTAGCTCTGCGTTCTGCCTCTTCGGTGCCATGGCTTCGCCGTCTCCAATCCATCCAATCCAGGTGCAAGAGGAAGAACAAGTTTGGGAAACTGAAGACTGAAGACAGCACACGGCGTTTTGGGGAGTTTATCGTAGTACGCTGAGGCGTTGTGCATTTGACAGTCCCGTGCGTTGATCCCAGAGAGAGGAGCGGCACCGGTTCGCGCGGTGTGGTTACCGCCGCTCGCCAGCCACGAAGAACGCATCGGGCCGCTTGACCGAGATAGCCGAGTCCTCTCACAGTCATTCGTGCCCGCTCGGATAGCCCATCACCTGAGCACGGGGTAAGGGTCTCTGAGATAGCGTCGCCGGCTCGTCGAGAGCGAGGGACACAGACAGCAAAGCTCCATCATCTCCGACGTCTTGTGCGCTGCTACGCACCTCTGCTGCACACCGCACGCACACAACCAATAGGGAGTCGGGAGACCTGTGACACAATCGTAAGGAGCACCAACATATACCACTCGTCGAGGAGTGCAAGAACAGAGGGAACTGCATTTGTGGTCATCGCATCATCACCTCAGCAGCAGCCGCAGCGGCGACAGCAGCAAGAATGAGAAAGATGCTTCGGCGGCAACCGGTAGGCCTGGGGAGCAGGACGCTTGTGTTCGCTCTCGCGAGCTCTGTAGCCACCGTGACGAGGGCGTTTTGTGCTTCGGCTGGCGCCTCCTCTCCCATGGAGGTACGTTTTGGTATGCATGTTTACTCATGTGCCGCAGATGGTGAGGTGTTAAACATGAAGAAGGTCATATCCTGGTCTCTCGATCATGATGCCGTGGAAATCAAACACGTGGCACCTTCCGATCTCACTGTATGTACTCATGGCGCCGATGGCGAGCGTCGCTGTTGCCGTCCGCCGCGCCGTTTGGACATCGGCCAGAACACAGGAAACGCGACATACACCCAGGTCTGCAGCAACCAAGTGTACGAAAGAATGCACAGCAGTAGTCCCAGGGGTGCACGATCGGCTCGCCGTGGGTTGTGGTGGCCGTACATAGATGGAGCGGCAGAGTCATTTTGCGGCACGTACAACACCTCCGTGCATGCCGAGCATCTGTACCAAAAAAAAGCCACACGGCTGCTTCCGGGTGCGCACCAACCTCGCCTGTCTTTCACGCATGTACCTAATGGATGAGTTCCTTCTTTGAGCTGTATCGAGCCCTTAGGGGTGTTACTAATAATAAGGCTACCTCGATCTCCGTCTACCGGCCTCCGCTTCCATTGCAGGAGGACCTCGCACATGTGTCTTTGTGCGCTTTGTCGTGACGGCTTTTTGGGCTTTGGTATGTGCAACACGGGTGTTTGGTGTTTTGGCGCGCAGGTTCACGGGGCCCGGACGAAGGCGGAAGACTGGGACGCGGAACGTTACTCCACCAACGCAGGCTTCGTCCCCGAGTTGGGCAAACACCTGTTGGACTTACTAGCGCCAAGGTGAGCCGCTGCTGCTGCTGCTGCTGCTGCTGCTGCTGCTGCTCTTGCTGCTACAACAGGACCCCTGGCCTTCCATACGGAGATGCCTGTCGAGGCTTTGTTGGATTGTTGAACGGGGGGGTTCTCTCTAGATGGTCGGGCGATGCTTCTCCATCTGAATCTCGCACTTGCTGCTGCGTGTGATTGTCTCTTGGCGGCCCTAACTGGTGCACGTTTTTAGTGGTCGGCCCGGCGGCTGGAGCGCCCTCCACCCGTCGGCCACTGTCTGTCGTGAACCACCCGTAGTTTCTTCCGGTATCATCCGGCCCCTTTCGGACGAATCTATTGCTACAGACGTGTTCTTGAAAAGCTGTTGAGCGAGGGTTTGCGGGGGTTCCTATTTTTTTTTTGCGGCAGCGGTGCTGAGAGTAACTTATCTGTTTCGCACACCAAAAAACTAACGGTGCCAGCGGTGTACCAAGTGTTCAACTCACATGCCGTAAACCTCAGCGCACAAGTGGCACGTTCTGTCCAGGTTGTGTAGAGTTGCAGTATACCGCAATAATGTGTGCCGTTAGCGCTAGGTCCCGACATGGGTGCGGATGATCGACGTCTCAGATTTGCCAAACCACATCAATTATCTGCCACGCAGTTCTTCGGCAGCATCGGCGTCGTGACATAAGTTTGTTGTCTATTGAGTCCGCGTACAAACGTGGCTTCTTTTTAAGTCTCCCACTACACGGCTAGCCTCAGCATAACCTGAGATCAATTTGTTGTTGCATTTTGTTTCCCCGTGTTTGTATTTTGTTTTTGTTGTTCTCTATGCCGTTCCGTTGGCTGAAGTGTGCCCCTTTTTCTGTTTCAACGATGCCACTTCGTCGGCACCTGCTCCCATCGGAAGGGACGGGGAACGCATTCTGGACGTCGGGTGCGGGGATGGCGTCTTGACCGCGGAGATCAAGGCCAGGGGCTGCAGGGTGGTGGGCATAGACTTCGCCCCCGACATGGTCGCCGCGGCTGCCAGAAAGGTCGAGCCCTAGATTATTCCTCTGATGCGTCGTAGTATGCGATATGGTGGTGATTTGTCTGGAGGCTGTGGTGTAGAAGTGGCGTAACAGGTGTTGAGATAATAGTGGCAGTGACATGACAGCAGCGCGGTTGAGAGGGAACAGTGGACAACGCGGTTGCGTGCAAAAAAGGATGCGAACTCTTCACCGCTGTTGTACATACAGTAGGCACAGCCGTCAGCATCATACTTCCCCGCCGCTGCTGTATACCGCGAAGATCTCGTTGCTTCATTTATATGCGTGTAAATACGAGAGCCCTGTTGAGGTGCTACCGTCGTAACAGCTACCTTAGGATTCGAAGCCTTTCAGCTAGACGTCTCAGCCCTGAGCAGCATATTTTCGCGCGTCAGTTGCGCTATGCGCTGGATGAATTTTATTCGACCCGCCTCTGCTTGTCATTGTGCTGGTCGTATGCATAGCACTCCCCGCAGCGTCTACGGCAGGCATATTCACTTCCCGTAGAAGGGACGATTTGTGCCACAAGCGTATCGAGGAGCCGGTCT